CACGGCGCCCAGGTACCCAGGTACCCAGCATGCCCAGGTCACAGCGCCCAGGTACCCAGGTACCCAGCACGCCCAGGCCGACCACGCCCCGTCACAGCACCCAGGTACCCAGCACGCCCAGGCCGACCACGCCCCATCACAGCACCCAGGTACCCAGGATCCTGGCTGCCAGCTCCCCCGACACAGAGGCCCCCGGTGCGGCCAGCCCTCCAGGCTCACCTGTCCTTTTCCTCAGGTGTGTTCTTGGGCAGCCTCATTGCTTCCTGCCAGAGAGAGACAGAACCACTGGGTGACGGACCATTGGGGGAGCAGCCATGCCCTCTGAGCTCCCACCAGGGGCCGTAGCAAGGACCGTGTCCCAGGTAGGGACGAGTTCTCTGGGAACCAAGCTTCTGCTAGGTCAGTGGTTTACAGCCCTTGGCATCAGGCCTGGTGGAGTGGGGTGGGGCGTGGTCAGGGGTACACAGCAGATGGTCAGAGCCCGGGGATGTGAGGAGGGGCAGGTAGTTCCCTCAGGGCCCTTATTCTCAGATAAGGAGCCTGAGGGCCCAGGAGGTCCCCTGAGCCCTTAGAACCTATAAGGCAGGAGTGGCTCTGGCCTGTGTCTCCAACACAAGCAGCTGCACCACCCTCAAGCCTGGGCATAAGAGGCCCAGACTTTGCAGGACTAAGAGCAAACCACAAAGCCCCTCGCGTCCCTGCCTTGACCACAGGCACTGGCCTTTCCTAGGTGCTCACACGTGTGGCATCACCCAAAGGCACTCGGCTCCTCAGACCCACCCCGTGTGGGCGAGCATGGCTGGGGCCACACACCAACTGCCTAGGGTGAGACGGAGCACGGGGACCCACCAAGCCCTGCTCACATCCACTGGGCCAGAGCCCCAGCCGAGGGGTGATCAGTGGGGAATGTGCTCCCTTCATCTTGGAAGATTCAGCCAAATCTCCACCAGAAAGTCATCATCAATGGCCCCTACCCTCGGCCACGGCTGGGAGAAAATGCTCCCTGGGCCCTGGCCAGAGCTGGATCCTATGACCTTTCCAACAGCGGCCATCGAGGAACAGAAATGCCCAGGGTCTCCCTGACTGGCTGGCGCGTTATCCGGACCAGGCCTCCTGGCTGCAGCCCCTCTCCCGGGCTGTCCTCTGCACGAGGGTCTGCGGCCCCTCTCCCGGGCTGTCCTCTGCACGAGGGTCTGCGGCCCCTCTCCCGGGCTGTCCTCTGCACGAGGGTCTGCAACAGTTGCAGGCGGAGCAGGGACAGCCATCCCCACGCTGTGACTCGTACTACGAACACCCTCTCACAGCCAGACCTTGCAGTGTGCACGGTCTCCCTGGGCAGATCTCAGCCAAGCGTGTGCTTCACGTGGCCACATCTGTGTCCGGCCGAGGCCTGCCCACCTGGTCAGTTTTGTTTTCTGTGATTTCTCGTGAGGCTTTGTTGTGTTGGTGATGGGGAAACACAGCTTTCTATTCCATCTGGAAATTACTTATGTATTTAGTGCAAAGTAAGGATATCTCCTTATATTTTTCAAAAGTCTACCTTCGCATTGCTCACAAGGAGCATAAACCAATCCGGCGCTCCCCACATGCTGGAGTGACCACTGGTGCCTAGTGCGGTCTCACCGTCCCCACTCGTGTTTCTCTAAACCACACGTCTTATATGTACGTTTCTTTCCTGCCTCTTGATTACATTTTCATTTATGTATTTTCCTCTCTACTTGGTTTTTATTCAATTATTCATCTTATTTTAAATTTCTAAATTTAAAGTTGTTCCTGCGTTTTGTATATATTTACTTTAGAGACAGGGTCTCATTCTGTTGCCCAGGCTAGAGTGCGGTGCTGCAATCACGGCTCACTGCAGCCCCAACTCCTGGCCTCAAGTCACCCCCCATCTAAGCCTCCAGAGTAGCTGGGACCACAGGCACCAGCTACCACGCCTGGCTTTTTCCGGGGAGGTGGGGGGTAGATACAAACCCTCAAACCCTGCTGGGACCATGCACTTGCCCGGTGGAGGCGGTGCTGGGGGTCAAGGCCCAGACAGCGGCCAGTGGTGACCCCCTGAGGCCACTCCTGGTCCCCAGCCGGAGG